GGCTGCAGTGGCCAGGAGCAGCCACTGCACTCCAGTCTGGGCGACAGTGGGACTCCAACTCAAAAAAATAAAAAATAAAAAATAAGAAGAAACTAAAGACCCTTTGAAGCAAGCCAGTGTGTATGTGGTTTTCCAATAAAAATGTTTTTAAACGCTTGAAAAGACAGAATCCCCATACCATAAACTGTTTTGTGCCACAAACAGCATATTAAAACAATTAGGCTACCCAGATAAACCAGCCTTGTTCATTATTGTCACTGTTGTTGTTTTCTTTCCCTTGAGTGTAGAGACCTCATGTGGATTCACTCCTTTGCTCCTACATATACCTCACTGGGCAACCCTCTCTAAAGGGTTTGGCGTGACATCAGTACTGTCCCTTCATCCTCAGTCCCTGAAGCCTCCCCAGAGCCTCTGTGCAGCACCCATCTGGTGCTCTGCAGCCTGTGATTTCCCCCCACCCCTACCGCAATTCCTATGGAGACAAGAGCCTTATTTTCAAGGGAACAGGCTTACCCTGTCATACCCACTGTCCACCCCTGATTCTGTACAGACAGGAATCACAACAACCACTGCTCCCATCACCTGTGGAACCAGCCAGGTGGCAGGAGAAGCACCTGATACACATTTTCCATCTTAATCTTCACAATGGCCTCAAGAGGTAGGCATCATTACCCTCCTTTTCCTGATGAGGATATGAAACCCAGAGAGATTAAGTAATTTCCCAAGATCACACAACTAATCCACCTGGAGCCTGGTTCAAAGCAAGCCCAAAGATGTGCTTTTAACTTAGGGTCCTAAATCCTTTTTAGGCCACAGTTGTATTGTCAGGACACTCAACCACACTGCACATGTTCTCCCAAACATGTAAGCTGCCCATCTCTGCTTTCTAGAACCTGTACAGACCCGACACAGCCCCCTCCCTGCCCCCATGATTCTCTTGCAAGAGGCACTGACCTGTCACTGTTGGGGTGAGGATCTGAATCCACAGCCCCAGCCTGTAGTTGAGTCTGGAGATCCCCAGTGCTCAGGCAGGAGGCAGCTGTGTGAGCCGGGAACCCACCACTCAGCCCCACAGCCCGCCTATCCTCGACACCTCCAATTATGGCAGCCAGAATTGTAACTCTTCACAGGTTCTTTGGCAGCAGGACTGGGCCTTAATTACATTCCTGAGATACCACAACACTTACTTGCTAAGATTAACTCAACCAGTTTCAGGGACCCACCTCCCTCAGAGCCGGATCTGAAGCACAGAAGGTCCCATTATCCACCTGCCTGCCTCAGAGCTCCTCCTCCCAGCTCCGGGGCTTGGGTGGGGCCAGGCACACGCTTAAATATATTTTCCTGGGCTGTCCTCCCTCCATTAGGGAACCCCCAATCTCTACAGTCATGAAGTGCATTCACTCATCCAACAAATATTCTTGAATATCTACAGCATGTCAGGCAAGATGAATGAGACACAGGGCCAGCTCACAGGGTGAGGACATGTGAGGAACAGTCACTCACTGTCGTGATGCACTGTGGACACTGAGTGGTAAGAACAGGGTGCTCTGGACACTTAGGAAGAAGTACCTTCTGCCTGGGTGGTTGAGGCTTCCTTAGGGAGGTGATATTTGAGCTGAGACTTCAAGAGTTTTGAATTGCAAGGAGGAACAGAAGACCAGGCACTCCAAATGGAGGAAACAGCACCGGCAAAGGCTTGTTGGAGCACTGCTCGGGGGAGAGTCCACAAGGAGTTTTCGTTAGCAGTTAGAAGAAATAAGGCTGGAGGGGCAGGACAGAGACAGAACAGGAAGACTCTGTGTGCCAAGATAAAGCTGCGATTTTATCCTGTGCACAAAAAGAAGCTAATAGAGGATTATCTGTTCTGTTGGATGGATGTTTTGTTCAGATGGACAACAGATGAAAGGGAAGAGGTAGTGTCAGCCTTGTTTATTAGAAAATAACCTACTGCAACATGGAAGCAACACCGTTCTGAGTCGAGGGCCGAAACTGTAGACTGGGCCTCCCTACAGATGCCACCTAGCTCCTTGAGTGGCAAGTGGGCTCCCCTCCCCCATCTCACCCCAACACAAGGCTTCTCCCATTCACCTGTCCACCTGGCCCCATCTCACACCAAGCAGCTACTCTGGGAGAGGCCTACCCAGGCTGATAAATGAGTACCCCGGAAGAGGGCGCCCAAGGACAGGTAATTGAACCAGAGACCGTCTGGTCATCCCTGATGATTTGAGAAAGGATATTAAAGTAGATACTTAAGCCAGCACATTTTCCAGGTTGCTGGGTGAACCCTCATCTGCCCAACATAACAATTTCCTCAGAAAACAAGTGGTTCACCAATGCACGTTTATGTTTCTAAACTAAAACCATGGCTCAAATTTCTAAAAAAGTGAAATCATTTAGCATTGCCAAGCTACAGACGCAAAGAATTGTATTGACTATCTTTGATTCAGCCATCATTTTCCTAGTAATTTATTTCCCCCAAATCAATTAAGCAGGTGTTGAAAGCAGTTATTAGGAAAATGTTTGCCACTGCAGTATCTATAGCCAAGAAACAAAAATAAAGGAAAAACCCTGGAACCATCTATTAACAAATTTGGCATACAGATAGAACTCACTCTTGGACAATTGCTAGATAGCAATTTGTTGCTCAAAACCAACTCTATTTCTGACCTATGGTTGGTGGGGTGGGGGATCAGATTGCACTCCTGTTCACCCTGTCTTTTGTTCACACTGGAATATAACAACCCTCCACACCCCGCCAACACCCAGAGGTGATTCCTCCCACAGTTGACTGTAACTATCCTTCGTACTTAATGTTATGCTGTGGACATCTTACATGCTTCATCAGGGCTAGCCTGATTTTTAATGAGAACATAGTGATCATTTGTCTGCATGTATCTAAATTTGTCTTATAGCTCCATTGTTAGTAGACATTTAAATTACTTTTAGTTTATACATTATAATGTTCACTCTTCCTTAATATTGATATTTCTTCAGAATTTTGCTGTATGTTAGGTGCACCTGTGCTAGGTGCTGGGGAGGAAGGGAACAGAAATGAATTGAATGACATTCTGCCTTCTGGAAGCTCATGGTCTGGAGGTGGAGACAGACATCTAGGCAAAACATCAAGGGACTGTACTTAGAAAAGAAACAAAAACTTGGTGCTCCCCCCGCCGACTCAGCCCCCGCCCCCCCCCCCCAACTCACAACCTCCACCACCCACAGCCAGGACAAGGTTTTGACCACAAACATTTAGATTTCACCTGTTTCCAATGTGTGGAGACCAGTCATTGAAAGCGACGCCTTGTGGTCTCCAGAAGCTACTGCAGCAAAGGAGTAGCTTGAAAAAGGTCCACCCCCAAAGGGTCCTGAAGTTCTCCAAGTTTTCAGACAACTCAAGGGCAGATAAAGACCTCAAGAAGATAATATTAGATTTCTGGCTAGGAGGGCAGTGGGGTGGGGTGGGAAAGATCAGGCAATTACTTTAAAAATTAAAGAGATATGACCACCTTGGTACCCAAAACAATGAATCAGGTTATACTGCCTGCCTAAATACTGAGACTCCTTTTGGATTTGTGTTGCCATTTCTCACCAGTGTATATCTGCTTCCTACCATACAGATCTATCAGCAAAGTGATATTCTAGTCAACGGCCTCTAGAGTATCTGAACCCTGTGATAGCGGGCTGTGCTTGGAGGGGGTCCTAGATGCATTCGAAGCCGTAGGGGAAAGGCTTGGGATGAATAGAAAGAACATGCGATGTTATTGTGTTTTCTGAGTAACGGAGTGCCTTTGTCGTATAGAAAATTAGAATAGGATTCAAGCATGAGGAGTGCCCAGGCTGCTTCTGTAGGATTCGAGGCTCCTGGATGGACAGAGAAGGCGACTAAACGTGTAGAGCTCTTCCTCTGCTGAGCGCTGTCTACCCTCTCATCTGTCTGTTATGTCTATCCACTCATCTGTTTTCATAACAGTTGCTGGTAAGAAACCCAAGGAATAACACATGAGGCAGCGTGCTCAAAACTGGCAAACACGGAGGAGCACTTCAAGCCCAGGCCCACTGGTTCCACAGAGCCTGTTCTTAATCCCCGCGTTGTCTCGTCTCTGAGTAACAGGAGATCAAGCCTTGGAAAGACCAGGAGAAAGGTCCCGCAGTTAGAGAAAAGAGCTGAAAAGAAGTGCTCGTGGGGGAGCCAGGCTGATGTGTTCAAGGGGCAGAAACAAGGGTTGGAATGGACTAAATGGGGAGCAGAGCGACAGGAGATGGGGTCTAAGGGGTAGGCAGAGCCAGACCAATGAGGACTTTGCTAATTTGAAGTTTTTCTCTCAGTGAGATGAGAAGTCACCAAAAGCTTTGTAAGGAATGTGCCATGTCCATGGACTGAAAGCCTGCTGTTATAAAGCTGTCAATTCTCCCAAAAATAACCTGTAGATTCAGTGCAATCTCAACCCAAAAATCCTAGCTGGAATTTTTTTAAAAACTGACAAACTACTTCCAAAAAGCATACAGAAAGCCAAGAATAGCCCGGGCACGTTGGTTCATGCCTGTAATCC